GGAATTGAGTGGTGCAGGGCGGGGGAAGACACAGCTGGGCCCATGACACCCGCCTCGGGAAATGTCACCCTCGGCACACGCAGCGTTTTCCGTTTCCATTCTGTACTCGGGTGAAACTCCAGATGTGGACTTAGTTCCTCAGGAGGAAACGCACTGACCCTGCCAGCAGACCTACACTCTGGCACCATTCCGTCACTCTCTTGGGACTTCGATGGAATTCCTAGATCTGAAAGTTCCTCATCGAATTGATAAAATCAAATTCCCGAAACTGCAAAGCCAAAGACGGGCCCCTCATTTCGCTGCCATGCAGGTTGTGCCTGTGCAGAGGGGGCTGTCACACAGGTTCTACCGTGATTTCCCTGCCTCTGGGGGAACCTCTGCCCCACCGCACGCGCCCTGCTCCAGCGCCCCTGCGGGTGTTGGGTGCGCGCAAGGCTCGGAGTCCTCACAGTGCTGGCTGCAGTGACCCCCCCCACCTGACCATCCTGGGCGGCATATGACCCTCCTTCCACTGCCCTCGGGCGCGGAAAAGCAGTTACGTGGAGAGGAGAGAAGAAAGAAGACAGGGAGGAAGAGAGAGGCCGCTAGCCTCGGGGACACCTGGACGCATTGATGAGGGGCAGTGGCATCCCTGAGGCTGTGGCTCCCGCTGCCCTCCTAGAGAAGAGTGGAAAGGACCCAAGCTTGGCGTCATCAGACTTGGGCCCCAAAACGACTCTGCTTCTTATGAGCTGTACAATTTCAGGTACCACAGTGAGCGTTCACGACGCACGTGTCCCATCTGTAGTGTTGCTGCCCCGTGCAGTGGCCACTGACCACAGGTGGCCATTGAGGCTTGAAATGTGGCTCTCCAAACACAGGAGCTATAACTGTAAAACTCACAAAAGATTTCTTTTTTTTTTTTTTTTTTTTTTTTTTTTTTTTGAGACCCAGTTTCGCTCTTGTTACCCAGGCTGGAGTGCAATGGCACGATCTCGGCTCACTGCAACCTCCGCCTCCTGGGCTCAGGCAATTCTCCTGCCTCAGCCTCCTGAGTAGCTGGGATTACAGGCATGCACCACCATGCCCAGCTAATTTTTTGTATTTTTAGTAGAGACAGGGTTTCACCATGTTGACCAGGTTGGTCTCAATCTCTTGACCTCGTGATCCACCCGCCTCGGCCTCCCAAAGTGCTGGGATCATAGGCGTGAGCCACCGCGCCCGGCCAAAACTCACAAAAGATTTCAAGAACTTAGCACAGAAAGGAAGAATGTGAAATATCTCATTAACTATTTTTATGTTGATTACATTAGAAATGATAACGTTTTGGATATATTGGGAAAATACTAAAATTAATTCTACCAGTTTCTTTTACTTTTCATGTGGTTTAATTGGGAAAATATAACAATATGACATATCCAGCTCACATTTTCTTTCTACTTAACAGCACTGATCTAGATCTGGAGAGGGATGGCCATCTGTCCCGCCAGCGGAGCAGTCTTGACTGAAGCCCAGTGCCTTTATTTTCCTGCTTGTTTCAGACTGAGTGTCGCTCTTGTTGCCCAGGCTGGAGTGCCATGGTGAAATCTTAGCTCACTGTGACTTCTGCCTTCCAAGTTCAAGCGATTCTCCTGCCTCAGGCTCCCGAGTAGCTAGGATTACAGGTATGTGCCACATGCCTGGCGAATTTTTTGTATTTTTCTTAAAGACGGGGTTTCTCCATATTGGCCAGGCTGGTCTCGAACTCCCGACCTGAGGTGATCTGCCCGCCTCAGCCTCCCACAGTGCTGAGGTTACATGCATGAGCCACCGTGCCTGGCCCTATTCCTGGGTTTTTTAAAAACAGTTTAAAGCAGTGCTGATAGGTGCATCAAAAGAAGTTGGAGTGGGTTTGTGGACCTGCACTCCATACCTTCTGTTCCGCCAGCTGCTAGTGTGTGAGGCAGAGGCTGGCTGAGGTGTGTTCAGTTCTGCCAGCAGCTGCCTCTTCCTGAGCCCGGCCAGAAGCAGTAACATTCACGCCTCCCTTTTACAGACACCTGCAGGCACTTGCGGATTAAACAAAACTGTGCTTAGAAACACCCGTATTTACAAATAACTGTGACTCTGACAGCTGTAGTTTCCTGTAGGTTGAAACCACACGCAGCTGGTGTGGACACCGCCGTGAGTTATGTCTGCACCACAGCCAATCCAAGTCTTTTCTGTGCCACGGCTTTCTCGACTTTGTAAGATTCCTGTTTTTACCAGGTCTCTGACAAAAATATTTTTTATTATGATCTCCAAACACAGTATTTTCTACTCGTTAGAATCTACCCCAGGCTAAGGGCTTCAACGTCGGTAGAGAATTTTCTCAACTAAAAGCTATTACGGTGCATAGACCGAAGTCAGAGGAAAGTACTAACAATTTCAACTTTATTAGCTCTACGTGCAACTTTGAAAAAGACTGCAGGCAATTTTATTTTTAAAGACTTAAAATAAAAGCTACATTAAAAAAGTAGTTTCAGCTGGGCCTCATGGCTCACACTTATAATCCCAGCACCCTGGGAGGCCAAGGTGGGCAGATCACTTGAGGTCAGGAGTTCACAACCAGCCTGGCCAACATGGTGAAATCCCGTCTCTACTAAAAATACAAAAATTAGCTGGGTGTGGTGGCGGGCACCTATAATCCTCACTACTCCGGAGGCTGAGATAGGAGAATCGCTTGAACCCATGAGGCAGAGGTTGCAGTGAGCTGAGGCCATACTACTGCACTCCAGCCTGGACCACAGAGTGAGTCTCTCAGAAAAATACCAGTGCTGTAGTCTTTTTTAATGTCTAGAACATTAACTTAAGCATTCAAATACATGCCAACAGTAACGCTTCTGCTTATATTATGTTAATGACAATAATATAAGGTAGTTTTAAATACTTTAACATGCATACATATATACTATTTTTAGAATTCATATTTGAAATGAGTTGTTAATATAATTATGAGTCTGTTCCTATAATAATACCAATATGTTGGTTAATAAATTGATATTTCAAAAATTATAAAGTTTTTATCATTTAGGGGCCCCTTTTCATTTTTAAAAGGGTCCCAGGTTAGGTGGTCTACCCCGTATGGTCACCAAACCCAGCAACCATCATATTCCCCGGACGAACCTTATTTAGGAAACCATCAGCCCTTCAAGGCTGGTGACTGCTCCATGCTGACACCATTAGGGGCATTTCACATGCACAGCCTTTCAGCTGCATCAGTCCCCTGGGGTTTTCCAGCCTCCTTTTTCCCTTTTTTCCACGCGCTTCACCTTGAACTGCCTCTACAATTAGTCTCAGAGTTATTACACTTTATTACTGTGTTGAAGTAGTCACCAACTAAGAACGGAACGGTTAGCATACAAAATCTCTCAATCCGCTTGTCTTTTCTGAACAGCAAATCTTCTTTTAGGGACTTTATAACAACAGAGGGGACCAAGGAAAGTGTCTTTTTCTTTGAAATCATTAAATGATTTATGATGAAAAGGTATAAAGAAATAGTGAAATGTGTAATTTTTATCACCTAGCAACTGTACCTGTCAAATCAAGAGAGTACTATTTAAATCACGGCCCTAGTGGTGTGACTTTTTTTTTTTTTTTTTTTTTGAGCTGGAGTCTTGCTCTGTTGCCCGGCTGGAGTTCAGTGGCACAATCTGGCTCGCTGCAACCTCTGCCTCCCGGGTTCAAGCGATTCTTCCACCTCAGCCTCCCAAGTAGCTGGGACTACAGGCTCATGCCAAATGCCCAGCTAATTTTTGTATTTTTAGTAGAGACGTGGTTTCACCATGTTGGCCAGGATGGTCTCAATCTCTTGACCTTGTGATCCACCTGCCTCGGCTTCCCAAAGTGCTAGGATTACAGGCATGAGCCACTGCGCCTGGCCAGTGGTGGGATTTTTAATCATTATCTAACTCACCAATATATGTTTAAGTGTTAAACAAAATACAAAGTTTAATTTGTTACGTTATAATTATTTTAATTACACGAATTTACTATATTAATTATTGAAACATCATCGAATATCCAAGATGACTTAAAAGTTAATGTGTAAATGACAGAGATGACAGTGTTCTTAGGGAGGTTGAAACCAAGTTTCTTTTATCATTTTGGGTGAGATTTATGTTTTCTAACAAGTGGTCCTTCCACTTTATTTATTCAGACTGTATTGCTTTAAAATATAAAATCAAAGCTAACACATCAGTAAAAATTTATCCTGCTTTAGACTCTAAAGAACATGGGGATCAGGTGATTCAGAGAAAAGACCCCAGTTTTCTTGAGCTCTGTTAGGGTTATTTTCCCAGCCTGTGACATGAAGCCACAGCGCACTTCAACAGCAGTTTCTCCCAGCAGAGAGCAGCACCCTGGCCGGCAGAGGGAGCCCGGCCTCGGCCAGGTGGGCACGGAGCTTCCCCAACAGTTTGGGACTGGATCAGCAGCAGCCTGAAAAAGCTTCCCATTTCTAGAATTTTCTACAGCTGTATTCTTTCAGAAACTGCAACCATAGAAAGCTTGTTGCAGATAAAGCTCACTGCTGAGATTGAAACATTTTAATTAATGTGTGATCTGGATGATAGATGGTTGGAACTTTGAAGAAAAAATTGCCTTATCCTGTCCTGATGCTCACATAAAGTAACATTGTTTTGTGCTAGTTCATTTAAATACCATAAACTCTGCCAGTGGAGTTGTTAGAGCGTGCTGAATGTATTATGTTATTATTTATTGCCACTCTATTTTCATGAGATGCATAGGAAGACTGTATCTTAGGCTGAATCCTGAATCTGCTGCTCACAGACTGCATTATCTAAGGCAATGTATTTCATCTTTCCGGAATTCTGTATCAGAATTATGCTTGCTTATATAAAGAAAATCCAAAATGGCAGTGACAAATAACAGATATGTATTTCTGTTACCTATGGCTCCACAGTGATCTGCGATCCTGAGACCATCTTCCTGCTCTTTAATCCTTAGACCCTGAGTCCAGTGACTTCCGTCTTTAAAATTACCTCAAGGTCCAATATGGCTCCTGGAGCTGGAGGTACCACTTCCATGGTGCAGGAGGCAGGAAGAATCAAAAGGAGACAGTCAGAAGCCCAGCTAAGTTCCTTTAAAAGACTTCCCAGAAATCTCCAGCAATACTTCACTGACATCTCAGTGAACAGAATGTGATCACATGGCCTCTTCTAACTATATGAGAGAGGGTAGAGATTTAGGATTTTAACTAGGTACATTGTCAGTTACCAGTGCAATCAGAATTATGCTACTAAACAAGAAAAAAATGGGTGTCGGGCAGCAGTTACCTCTAACACTGGATTTGTATGTAAAATTGTATCCATAATGCCTTACTGGATTGTTTTGAGAATGCAAATAATTCTTTTTTTTTTTTTTTTTGAGACGGAGTTTTGCTCTTGTTTCCCAGGCTGGAGTGCAATGGCACAATCTCGGCTCACCGCAACCTCCGCCTCCTGGGTTCAGGCAATTCTCCTGCCTCAGCCTCCTGAGTAGCTGTGATTACAGGCACGCACCACCATGTCCAGCTAATTTTTTGTATTTTTAGTAGAGACGGGGTTTCACCATGTTGACCAGGATGGTCTCGATCTCTTGACCTCGTGATCCACCCGCCTCGGCCTCCCAAAGTGCTGGGATTACAGGCTTGAGCCACCGCGCCCAGCCCGAGAATGCAAATAATATATGTACAGCACCCAATTTAGTACCTGACCAGTGACTATAATGATTATATTACATTTTGGAAAGGAACAGTGGCATTTTGTATCCACCACTTCATGTGGATAATTTTGATATACTGGAAATCATTGCTACCATTGAAAGTATACAACATTATTGATTTTGTATTCTTGTCCTATATATTTAATCCGAAGTTAATCATGAGAAAACTATCAGACAAATCCAGAAACCGGGACATTCAATGAAAAAAAGTAGTCTGGACCTTTCAAAAAGTCTATGTCATAAAAACAAAGGGAAGATGGGAGGAAGAGAGGGAAGGATGGAGGGAAAGAAAGGAAGGAAAAAAGGAAGAGAAGAGAAAATTAGTTCTAGATCGAAGGAGACAGGGCAAGCAAATGTAAGCAGTGAAACTTGATGAGTCCTGAATTTTTAAAAACAAAAAGAACTTTGAAGGATTTTTATGAACCATTGATAACTTTGAATATGGACTGGATAGTAAATGTCATTGAATAAATATACAGTGTGGGATAGATGGGAATGATCATGTGAAAAGGAGAATAGGAGAGGTGGATTTAAGAATAAGTATCATGACATCTGACATTCATTTTGAAATGATTCCAAAAAAGTATCTATTGTATAAATACATATACACATACACATATTTTATATACGCATATATAAAATACAATAGCACCAGCCACCAGGCAGCTGCTCCGCAGAAGCCAGGGTCCCAGCCCCACAGTGTCTATGTCAGCAGCAGCCAAAGCGCACGTAGTCCCAGAGATCTGTGTCTCTGGGGTCCGTGGGTCTCCAAGCTTCTAAATTTTACATATTCCGACTTCTTGTCCCTTCAGCCATAGGGTCAGTACCTGCTTCCTGAAGCTGCTACCTTGGCATTGTCTAGGATTTTGAGTTCTCTGTCCTTCAATGCCTGGTTAACAATTCTTTGTATTAAATTATCTGCTAAAATAACTTGTGTGGTTCTGTCTCCTTATTTGCCTCTGAAGAAAACATAGAAATTTGTCCTATGAGTGGTCCCAGCAAGTATACCCCAAAAATGGACGGTGAGGATTGTGACTGAGGCATGAGCGTGGTGCGGAGCTCCCTGCGGGAGGAGGAGCTGGTCCTCCCAGGCCCATAGGAGCATCCTGGTTAGACATAACCAATTACCTGTGCTTGAGAGTAGTTAGTGACCACAGGGTCAAGTGGCTGCTGCCATCGGCATTTTGCAGGAATGAATTCTACAAAGACCATGATCTAGAATAGCTTCTGCTAAGTGCCCTGGGTTGCGCACAGAAAGAAAATGACTGAGCAGGACACGGCTGCGCACCTGAACTTCCAGCTGCTCCAGAGGCTAAGGCGCTCGAGGGGACCGCTTGAGCCCAGGAGTTTGAGACTAGCCTGGGCAATATACCAAGACCCTCCCTCAAAAATAAAAACATAGAAAAGACAAGAAGCACTGCTCAGTTGTTTAAACTCTCAACATCACAGAACCAGAAAGCTTCTAGAGCAGCCCTAAAAGAGTGTGCTTATTTATTGTAGCTACATTGTTCTAGTGCTAGAAATTGTACACAAAAGTTAATTCCGAAGGTTGCAGAAATTACAGCGTAAGTTGAAATCATGACCTCGCCAAATCCCTTGAGTCAAAGTTACAACCTTGATTGAGAAGAAATGGGATCCTGGACTTTATAAAGCACATCTAGGTGAACTCAGAAAAAGCTGAGAATCTTTAACTGTCAGGTCTCTGATTTTTCCCTTCCGGTGGCAGCAGCCTGCCCTTCCAGCCTTCCCTCACTTGAATCGATGCCTGTTTTCTGGAAGATCCAACATGACCACCACTTGTTGCCAGAAGACCCAGAGCTAGTGCCGTGTATCAGCAACTCCATGGGAACAACTACAAAGCAAAGTTCTGGAGGAAACAGTTTACACACCAAAACCATCGCAAGATGTTGCAAACTTCTGTTAACAGAGAGCGGAGGAATCTATCCAGAAATGGGTCCTCATGATGTTACCAAGAAGAAAGTGTTATAACGTCCTATGGTGCTACATGGAGGTGGATGTCTCTGAAGGAACCTGCTGCACTAATCCAAGTATATACCATGAGTCCCTTCCTGTAGCTCTCCCTAAGGGACCTGAGGCCATTTAGTGACATTGCTGTGATTTGAGAAAAGGAAGTACCTAGATGTTTTGGGAATTCCAAGGCACTGATTCAGAACTGACACTATTACCTGGGGACCCCAAATGCCGTTGTGACACAGCAGTAAAAGCAGGGGTTATGACGGTGAGATGCTCCACGAAGTTTGGGCTCAAGTGGGCCAGTGGGTCCCTGAACCAAACTGATGGCTATTTTGCTGCCTTTGCTAAATCTATCATTGGAATAAACACACTCAACAACCAGCAGAATACCCACATGGACTTTCTGACCCTTGGAACAGGTCCATTATGATAGGAAAGGCTAAGTGGAAGCCTTTGAAACATTGTCTATCAGGATAAGAAAACCAGTGGCAATACACATCACAGGGAGAATTGCAGAAATGGGCGCTGCCATCAAAGACGTGAAAGATAAATGGTTGGTGATACCTATAACACTTCTATTTGCCAGCTGGGCATGGTGGCTCATGCCTGTAATCCCAGCACATTGGGACACCAAGGCAGGAGGATTGCTTGAGCCCAGGAGTTTGAGATCAGCCCGGGCAACATGATAAAACACTGTTTCCACAAAAAAACAAATACAAAAACTTAGGCAGTCATGGTGGTATGCACCTTTAGTCCCAGCTACTGGAGAGGTGGAGGTGAGAGCATCGCTTGAACCTGGGAGGTTGAGGCTGTTGTGAGCCAGGATTGTACCACCGCATTCCCGCCTGGGTAAGAGAGAGAGAGACTCTGTCTCGAAAAAAAAAAGAAAGAAAAAATGCTCTATTTGCCTGTTTAGCCTCTGCAGGAGATGAACTGATCTTGGAGAATGATTTTGGACCGTCATGAACAGAATCAGATGATACTTTAATGGTGACTGCTATTCTTTAAGTGCTATTTTTATGAGCTGATTAATACAACCCTTTTATGCAGGTAATGATTTGTCAAATACTCTTCTCTCTATGCTTTTTTTTATGAGAAGCTATGAGAAGATTCAGACCAAAAAGCAAAAGAGAAATTCTCTAGTCATCAAGGCTGCTAGTTTTCTAATGGGAAGTCATTATTCGCAAATTCACTACATTTTTCTATGGGGGCTACAGACCAAAGGAAAATCATGTACCTAGCGATAGCAATGGCAAACAAAAGATCACATCAAAATCAGCAAATAATTGCAAATTAATAGAATATTTTGATGAATGCTTTGTACATATATACATATATATATATACACACATAAAACCTGGTAAGCAGTTTTGCAAAAATAGTTTGATTTACTTAGACAATGAAAGAAAATAGATTTTTAAATTATTGATTTACATAATAATTTTTTTCTGGGGGGCGGGATAATCACAAGGAATCAGGTGTTCAGAGGAATGTATTGAGTAGAGGTGAGGAACTAGGATGCTGAAAAGTAAAAAAAGAAGAGCATGTCCTATGCTAACTACTCAGGACAGCAGGACAAGCAGGCGTAGTTCTGTCTATTTCAGTCATGTGAAGTGAGTAAGGTCTAGAGAGCTGCCGCATAAGATTGTGCCTATAGTCAACAGCGCTACACTGTGCACTTCATTACGCACTAAGAAGGTAGATACCAAGTTAATTGTCAGTACCACAATTAAATTAAAAAAGAAATCAGGCTTCAGCAGGTAAGAACGGCACGGTGATAGCATCAGATCAGGCAGCTCCTACCTATTCCTGCTGCACTGCTCCCTTCCCTTCAAACTAACTCACATGGAAAATTCCTCATATTTTTATTTAAAACAGTATCAGCCCTAGTGCAGTGGCTCATGCCTGTAATTCCAACACTTTGGGAGGCTGAGGTGGGTGGATCACTTGAGTTCAGGGTTTGGAGACCAGCCTGGGCAACATGGTGAGCCCGATCTTTACATTAGCCAGGTGTGGTGGTGCGCACCTGTAGCCCCAGCTACTCGGGAGGCCGAGGCAGAAGAATCACTTGAGCCTGGGAGGTGGAGGTTGCACGGAGCTGAGACAGAGCCATTGCACTCTAGCCTGGGCGATAGGAGTGAAATCTTGTCAAAGAAAGAAAGAGGAAGAAAGGGAGGAAGGAAAGAAGGAAGAAAGGAAGGAAGGAAGGGAGGGAGGGAGGGAAAGAGAGAGAGAAAGAGAGAAAGAGGGAAGAAAGAGAGAAAGGAAAGAAAGAAAGAAAGAAGAAAGAAAGAAAGAAAGAAAGAAAGAAAAGAAGAGAAAGAAAGAAAGAAAGAAAGAAAGAAAGAAAGAAAGAAAGAAGAAGAAGGAAGGAAGGAAGGAAGGAAGGAAGGAAGGAAGGAAGGAAGGAAGGAAGGAAGGAAGGAAGGAGGGAAGGAAGGAAACATATTGGGCCCATTTTCCAGGTGCTTTCACTGTACATGCTGGCCCCATTTGGAAGTGAATGTTGGCACAACTCTGCGCACACACGGGAGTGGCCTTGCAGGAGAGGAGTAAAGTGAAATCCTTCCAGTGGGAAATGAACTTGGTCCTTAGAATTGGCTGATCTCGCCACACACACCATCACCTACAATGAGTTGGGCTAATAAAACAAGAGAAGAGGCTACTGAAAAACTAAGTTGTGGTGTCAGTTGGGGGAACATCCTGAAAGGATGGGGTTCTAGCTTAAAGGAGACAGTGAATGCTTTGAATCCATGACCAACAAACGATGCTGGTTCTCCCATAACAGAGATACTGCTTCACAAATCGAGTGGTGTGAGTGGGAACGGCTCCCCGCACCGTTACACCTAGTCACCCGCCCACAGAATTTCCCTTCCCGTTACTGACACTTTGCACTCTGCTCGTCTCGAGGTTTCGGTTCACATGTCAGAAACGCTTTCACATATCAAAATTCTTTTGATAGCCCCGTTGAGCTGGAGCTTGACAACACCATCTGGCCTTTCGGAATCCTCATGCGGCTGAAGCATCAGGCAAAGAAGGAGGCTCCTTCTCTGGTTATTCCATCCTGATTATCAAGAAGAAACTGGGTTGCTCCTACACCAGACGGTCAACGTGGATTAATGTCTGGAAAACAAAGGGGTTCTCTGAGTGCTTCTTAGTATATCCACACCCAGTTAAAAAATTTCCAGGAAAACCGTAGCAACAAAACAATCACTACAAAAACGTAGAACCACTGATAATTCAAAAGCACTGGCAATGAAGGTTTGGGTCATTCTGTCCATAAAATACCACAGCCAGCTCATTTCCTGTAAGAGGGCAAAAGACATACAGAAAGTGCTGGAAAAACAAAGTCAGGACTAGAGCAGCTAAGGACACTTTCTGGCTTGCTTGTGTGTGCATATTAACTAACTTTCTCTTCTCCTTCCCTTCATTCTTTATTCAAGATCTGTGGTGATGGTTAGCACGACAGTTCCCTGCTTAGGTAACAGAATATTCACATAGGTTTGTGACTGAATTTGAATAGGATTTACAGTGTCCAGAAATACGGACCGTAACTGTTGGGATTCCGTGTGTCCTTGTTTGGAGGAGCGACTGAGAAAGTCTGTACTAGGGATAATTGCAGCTAATTAGGAAGATGTAGGGAGGTGTTTGGCTATTGCATGAAAATCCAAAAATGTGTGGAAAGGAGTATGCGCCGACTCTGTCAGTCACCTATGTACCATCGGCCTGGAACCCACGCTTCTCACTCTGCTGGGACCCTGCAGACCACGTTTATACTCTGGCCGCTGGCTCCACATCAGGGTTCACAGACTGAAGCCCGCAAGAGGGTGACCCACTGATCAGGAGGTTGAGAAAGAAGGGAGACACCCCGTGCTGTGTCTGGCCTGTCCTGCCTCTGCCTCCTCTTCCTGGCAGCCAGTAACACTTCCTCACACTGGCTGTGGTAGTTTGTTTCAACAGCATTAGTGAATTCACAGGCCAAGCGTGATCACGTGCCCTCAGACAGAGGCCTCACTCTGCAGGGGCCCTTCTCGAAGCATCTAAGTTCTGTTGATTCCTACCACATCCCTTTGTTCTCCTCAGCCCAAAAGTAGTGGCTGCTTTCTGCAGTTATTGCCACCACGAAAAATCAGTGTCCACCTCCCAGTTGTTCCGTATTCGTTAACAGTTGTTACATAGATTCTCTCTCTTAAATTAATGACGTGGCTTCTGTTTCCTAACTGTCCCCCGACTCATCCAGTGGGCAAAATAACCTGGGTGCCTCGCTTACTAGCTATGTAGCTTTGGGTCATTTCGTCATTCTAAGCCTTAGTTTTCTCAGGTATAAAAATGAAATAATAGTATTTCTTAACCCTGTAAGGATTGGGCAATAAAATTCAAGTATAACGAGGTTGTTAATGAAAGCCACAACTCAAATATAAAGAATAAAACAATGTTTTTGTATTACAGATGTTAACTTTGGCCAGGCCTGGTGGCTCACACCTATAATCCCAGCACTTCGGGAGGCCAAGGCGGGTGGATCACCTGAAGTCAGGAGCTCGAGATCAGCCGGGCCAACATGGTGAAACCCCATCTCCCCTAAAAATACAAAAATTAGCTGGGCATGGTGGGGCATGCCTGTAATCCCATCTGCTTAGGAGGCCGAGGCAGGAGACTAGCTTAAGCCTGGGAGGTGGAGGTTGCAGTGAGTCAGGATTGCACCACTGCACTCCAGTCTGGGTGACAGAGAAAAAGAAAAGAAGTTAACTTAGCTCTGAAACACCGGTTTCTCCTGATGGTGGAAATAATTTAATCTTGCCTTTCAACATGCCTGCTTCTGTTCACCACGTCACTCTCAAGTTAACTCCAGTTACAGACCCTTTTCAGGTTTCTCTCCTGTCCCGTATCCTGACCTCGTTGGCTTTGTGAGTCACAGGAAACCTGCCACCAAGTCAGCATATTGCATCGCTGTCCTCATGGTTTCCTCTGACTGACGCTGTTCATCCACTATGTCTCTAGGCGTTTCATTCCAGCCTTGGTCCTCACTCCTGGCTTCTGATCGAATCAGCCCATCCTGATGACTCTTGGTAGACTGAGCCACGTTCTCCATCCAGCTACTTCTCCACATGCTTGCACCACCCAACCCCCTAAGTCAGACGCTCAGTCTTTGTTCTGTTCCCAAGGCCTCTGCATCCCACACCCAGAGCGTGGGGAGGTAAGAAAGCTTGAGCCCATTGCCTCCCCGCCCCCAACCCCAGGGGCATCATCCTCCCACCCCGCTAGAAAGACACAAAAAAATGTCCTGAAAAGACCTCAAGACACTGGCTTTGCAGAAAGAGAATGAGGTGGAAAATGCAAAGGATTTACTTTTCACTACAAATTATTTTGTACACTTCTTGAATTTTCTACCATTCATGTATTCCCCATGTTTTCTGTTTGTTTGTTTTTGTTTTTTTGAGATGGAGTCTCGCTCTGTCGCCCAGGCTGGAGTACAATGGTGCAACCTCAGCTCACTGCCACCTCCGCCTCCTGGGTTCAAGAGATTCTCCCGCCTCCGCCTCCTGAGTAGCTGGATTACAGGCACCGGACATAATGCCCGGCTAATTTTTGTAGAGTCAGGGTTTTGCCCATGCTGGTCTTGGACTTCAGACCTCAAGTGATCTGCCTGCCTTGGCCTCCCAAAGTACTTGGATTACAGGCGTGAGCCACCTCAACCAGCCCCGTGTTTTATTTTGTAAATGGCACAGAGATTATCTGGGCAGTGGGGTTGTGAGTGATTTCTTTGTCTTTCAATTTTTTTCTACTAAAAATGAGTACATGCTTGACTAATGTAGACAGGTGTACACTGAAAACTTGGAACAGTGTTTGCAGATTCTAAAAGGTCTTGTGACATGTCCTGTGACCCCATTCCACAAGGACTCATCCCAGCCACTTGGCCACTTGAGGCCAAGCAGTCTCAGCACCATGAAGGAAGGTCACCCAGTGTGGGAGGAGCAGGGCCATTCTCTGCTCTGGTAATTGTGGATTTTAGTCACACAAAGAATATTGCAGGTTTATGCTACAGGCAGCTTGCTTCCAGTTTATTATACATTATTCTACAAAGCATTATTCATTATTCCACATTTGTGTGAAAGATGATGTTTTTGGTGGGGAAGAAGCAGACTGTGGCTGGGGAGTTTACCAAAAAGAATTGATCCAAAACCATGCTCACTGATTATTATCCTCATTGGAGCAGGGACAGAAGCAGAACTGGTTACATATTAGCAAAAATCAACTTGTGATTTAAAGGCATTAATTTAGTTAACCAAATGTATGCGTGAGATTAAAATGCAATATTGCTGTGATTATACTGCAATCAGAATGTAAACAAGTCCCGTGCGTCTGCCAGAAGTCTCCTCATCTCGTTGTTTTAACGCAATCTGTAAACTAGCTTTCAGTAAATAGACTCTTTCATATTCCTCAGCTGTCACGTTTCGTTATTTTTCTTTTAATTTGCAAAAAAAAAAATCAGACATTGTTAAGGAATGTTATATATCTTTCCAAATATGATTTTAAAAGGTATACAAATCAGGGTTTATCCATGTTACTATACTAAGTTTGATGTGCTAAAAAAATACTGTAAATACTTTGATTATATATTTAAACCACAAAGATTAAGCAACGTGTTAATGATGATGAGCTTAACACTATTTTCAAGATTTGTACCTTAGTTTACAAATTAATTTTTAAAAGTTAGTAGCGTATGCTGAAGACAGCGCTTGCTAAAATAACAAGATAGTTGTATATAAATGTGTTCTGTTCCCTCAATACTGGCATTGGATATGAGTGCCCTTTTAAAAATATTTTAATGCAGATAATTTTTAGATGTCAAAATTATAAAATCTCCAAAATGTAATTGGCGAAATGATGTATTTTATTTAAATCCCACATGTTAACCAAATCCCTAGTTCTCTACGTTATGCCTACATTTACAAAAAAAATACCTTGCTGGGTGGGCTGGGTGCAGTGGGTCATGCCCAGTAATCCCAGAACTTTAGGAGACCAAGGCAGGCGGACCACCTGAGGTCAGGCGTTCAAGACCAGCCTGGCCAACACAGTGAAACCTCATCTCTACTAAAAATACAAAAATTAGCTCGATGTGGTGGTTCACACCTGCAATCCCAGGTACTTGGGAGGCTGAGGTAGGAGAAGCATCTGAACCCAGGTAGCAGAAGTAAGAGTCAGCCAAGATCATGCCACTGTACTCCAGCCTGGGTGACAGAGTGAATCCATCTCAAAACAACAACGAAAAAAAAAAAAAAAACTTGCTGGTTTTCTGATCCTAAATTATACCAGAAGGAAAGAAACAGTTTCTAAAATATTTCACCTACCCGTCCCAAAACGTGCCCTAAAAGAAACCCTCAAATGTTTTTCACAATTGGTATCCTAATTTGTATTTTAACCTCACATTATAGTGCCTATTGCTTAATATGAGCCCTCTTCTCCAGACTGCTTTGGAGTCCTGTCATCTAAGCTTCAATAAAGCTTTGTTCTTCACTGGAAACATCTTGCTAGAAAATCTGACTCTAGCTGTGGTGTTGTAATATAGGTGGGTTGGGCTGCCTTCAAAAGGCTGAGCCACAAAGAGCTATTTCATTTAAGAAAAACAGAGTGTCTTGGAATCATTTCCTTAGACTAGGGTGGGTCTCAGTGGCAAGTGCAGCCTTTGCTCTCAGACAGCGTCAGTGAGAGGAGGCACTGTCTCTGCCCACAACTGGAGGGGCTTAGAGGTACCTGGAAACTGGCATGGTGGTTAAAGAAATCACAGTGCCCCTTCTCTTTACCTTTGCCTTTAAAATAATAACCCACCACGTTAAAAATGATAAAGCACAAATCTGTGATTCTACTCTTTAAGCACTCAAAGTTATATGTCAAATCAATGGAAAATAACATGAATTATTCTTTTGTTAGTGTCTTTTTTCATACAAAAATGTTCATGAATCTATCTTTTTCAGCATCTGCCTTTTAATTTGTAATATCTTCTGTGGTTCACTTATTAATTATTTAATTGTTATATTTTGAGTTGTTTCTGGTTGTTGATATATTTTTATGCTACTTTATACAAATAATGTTGTGCCACCTTAAGAATAAGTAAAGAAAATGAA